TCAGCTATAGTCAAAAAGAGAAAATAAAATAAGGGTAAAAAGTGAAAGGAAATAAGGTGAAAATAAGAGATAATAATAATAATAATAATAATAATAATAATAATAGCAAAGAAAATATTAATAATAATAGCAAAGAAAATAATAATAATAATAATAATATCAAAGAAAATAATAATAATAATAATAATAATAGCAAAAAAAATAATAATAATAATAATAATAATAGCAAAGAAAATAATAATGTTTAATAATAATAATAATAATAGCAAAGAAAATAATGATAATAACAAAGAAAATAATAATAATAATAATAATAATAATAGCCAGGAAAATAATAACAATAATAATATCAAAAGAAAATAATAATAATAATAATAATAATAATAATAGCAAAGAAAATAATAATATTTAATAATAATAATAATAGCAAAGAAAATAATGATAATAATAATAATAATATCAAGCACATGTGCTAAACTATTGTCACCCCAAAACGCAGATTCTGTGATAAATATCCAGAAACGATTGATCATCTTGTGTCAGGTTGCACAACATTGGCACCCACTGAATATAAAACCCGACATGACGGAGTGGGCCAATATCGGCACTGGAAAATCTGCAACTTCTACGGGAAGGAAACTGAAAGAAACTAGTATGAACACCACCCAGACCCGGTTAAGGAGTTAGGACCTGTTACAATTTTATGAGACTACACAATACACACTGGCAGAACAATCAAAGCCAACCGCCCAGATATTGTTATTAAAGACCACAAGCAAAAACGGTGCCTCCTTATTGATATGGCAGTCCCTGCTGATTGCAACGTATCTTTGAAGATATTCAAAAAGTTGTCAAAATACAAGAACCTTGAAATAGAAATCTCGAAAATGTGGCATATGGGAACATCAACAATCCCTGTTGTAGTTGGAGCCCTAGGACTGGTTGGAAAAGATTGCAGTAGACTAATTGAAGGGGTTCCTGGAGGTCCATGCCTCAAGGAGATACAAAAAGTTGTTCTGACAAATACAGCCCACACTTTACGAAGTGCTTTATCTATGTAATTATTTTTTTTTTTTTTTTTTTTTGTCAGTGGAAAGTGTCATGATGCCATTTCTAACCTTAGAAAGAAATGTGTAAACGCCAGAAATCAACGAAAATAATAATAATAGTAATAATAATAATAATAATAATGACAACAACAGGAAGAATCAAATTCAAACTAAAATTAGACGAAAATATATGAGAACATCACGTATGATGATTAATTTTTGTTAAAAAAACTGATGATTTAAAGAAAGAAACTAAAATTGGAAGTAATTTTTTTTTAAAAAGGCAAAATTTCCTTACAGAGATTATCAAAGGCCATGCGTGCATTAGCATTGTTGTCCGTTTTCCGTTTCTTTTAAACAACAAAAGAAAAAAAAACTCTGAAAACTATAAAAGCTTCCCGCCACAAACAGGCAAGCAGCCATGACAGTTTTGCCGGAAAGCTTTTTATAGCTAAGCCGCCATTTGCAGGGACGTGAATCCAGTCAATTAGAGAGAGTCGTAATGAGATTTTAATTAAAAATCCCACGCGCAAAACGATTCCACAAACAAACGTCGCTGACTAAATATCAATTAAGGAAAATCGTTTAGCGAAATCAGTTCTTATTTTTTCACGTTATAATTAGTTTACACTCTTGCTAATAATAATAATGATGATAATATTAATCGTTTTCGAGAACTTTTCGTATATTCAAATATAATCTGATGTACAAACAAACAGTGACTGAGTATGTCGCTGTATAAATCAAACATTTAAGCAGCTAATTAAGGCGTAAGGAGAATGCATAAACTTTAATTACTCCAGTGAAATCCTGCTAAAATCAACATACTTATGTCCTACTAATGAAATGTACAGCATATAAATTATCTCTTTGATGATTTATATAGTATCAAGATATATTCGTTTTCATTTTTGCATTTTTCCCTTGACCTTATTCCTATATCAAATATGAAATCCCACGTAGGCATCCCGAATTAGTAAAATATGTATTAACTATATTCGCTCGAGTCAGCATACATGTAAAATCTTGGATACCGCAATATTTCAGGTATTATATACAATAGAACAGTACTCTACCAGTCAAAATGCAACGATTAAAAGATTTAGAGGCACTTCACTCCAAAAGCAGTACGCTCTCATTAATAAAATTTGCTCAGATCTTTGTGCACACGTGTTAAATTGCCTTCCAACCATAAGGTCAGTTGACGCTAATACCGATATGACCAGCGAATTGTGAACCTGTGATCATGTCAAAATCATGACTTGGAACAACAAAAACACTCTCTAATGGCTACATTCTACATTATTTCATTCGACGCAAACCCAATACGATACCTATATCACGTAATAAAGATACCGGCCTGTTTGATCTAAATGATGAGACTGGAGTGATCTCTCCAGAGTGCAGGACTCAGCGATGGTATATGTAGGCCGTGTACTATCCAAAGTACATGGCCTTTTCTCGCCCGCGCTGTCACGATCCAAAACAATACAGGGCATTATACTTGGGTCAGGCTTGGCTACAGCTCTCGCCGAAAAGTTGTCAGTATTTACAGACGACCATCTTCGGGGTTCCACTCCAGGTTTTCTGTCTGGATTTAATTCCATAGCCATTTCCGTGTTTGGATATAATCGCAAGGCAGCAGTGGTTTAAAATTAAGGTTTTCCTTAGCCGAGATGAACTGCTTTCCTGGGTTGTCGAGCGACATCGACCCGAAACAGCTGGTTATGAAATGCCTGTGCCTGCCTTCGCCCATTCTCCGGTTTGGAGCTGGATAGTATTCAGGCTATTTGAGACCCATGCCACCGATGCATTTTATATCATTGGGAGTTTCTCTCCATTACCAACCCTGGCTATGACCACTTTTGGAAAATATAATCCACGCTTATAAACATTATATATGTTCCATGTTTTAGAAGCACCCAGAACATTTTTTTTAAATATAAGGCGTTAGGGAAACAAACAAAAATAGAATCTCAATTATACCACTTCAGGGGCAAGATTAAACGTACGCTCGGAATGCGGCTTTTAAGTTAGTTTTAAAAATAATTTACTTTTCTGGTTGCATTTTCCTTAGAACTTACAGAGAGAGGTTTCGTGATGTAAGGTTCTGCAGAATTTTGATTCGAAGAACCCAACTCATTTGAAGTTCCACGGAGTTTGTGATTTGAAAAAAGGTTAACACAACTGAAGTAAAACGGAGTTCCTGATTTAAAGAACTCAATTTCAGACCTGAATTGGAATTTCGACCGAAATCTGTCTTTTGGCCAAATTTAGACTTATAGTGATATCTTGATATTTTGAAGTTCCATGAAGAGAATTGAGGAATTCAATGTTATTTCTTCAAAATTATCATTGCTGTTTTCTAAGTTGGACCAGAGGTCCTTTAATTATAGTCTAGAACCCCAAATATCCCCCCACTCAAGAGCTAGATTAAAAATATGTTCAGAGTGCGGCTTTTACGTTAGTTTTAAATATAATTTACTTTTCTGGTTACATTTCCCTTAAAACTCACAGTTCGTTTAAACTTGACATATTTAGTGCATATTACCTTATATCCGTCTGTAGAAACTGAATTCTGTCGCTTCATGCCTCTTTATCGGTAAGAAAATATATTACCTGCGGTAGGAAAGATATGACATAAGACGCCTGCCACCGATGCATTTTATATCATTGTGAGCCATTCCACATTACCAACCCCGGTTATGACAACTTTTGGAAAATATAATCTACGCTTATAAACATTATATACAGGGTGTTCAGCAAAATCCGACACTTGACAAAAAGAAAACGAAATAGGCAATAAAAAGAAAAGTTGTATATGCAGATACCCGACAGTTTGACAACTAACTAACGTTTTTTCTCTCTACCCTTTTCCAGGATGGAATATGTGCACAGAACAGCGGTAGTAGTTTCTTTTCGCGTCGGGAAGAAGCCTGCGGAAGTGATGGCCTGGTTTGGGTTCAAGAGAACCAAGGTCATGGACATTTGGAGGAAGTGGAAGGCGTGTGAGAACAAGGACGAGTTTACTGCCAATCGAAAGGCCCACAACGTTCGTTCTTCGGCCGTTAGAACCGACGAGTTCGTCGCCGTCGTCAAGGAGACAGTCGACAATGATGGAAGCCAGAGCTATGTCAAGATCGCCGCTGACATGGGCTGTCACAAGTCAACAATCTGTCGAACGATCAAGAAGGACATTGGTTACTCCTCCTACTGCAAATCTCACTGTATGCTCATCACGAATGCCTCCAAGGAGTCTTGAAAGGTCAAGGCGGCGGCTTTGCTAAACGAGCTCCGCCGAGATGCTAAGTTTTTTCTCTGATGAAAAGAATTTCATCTAGGACCAAACGAGCAACAGGAAGAACGACAGGTGGATCTGCAAAGACACCGAGGAGGTTCCCATCGTGAAGCATACGAAGTTTTCCTCCTCCGTCATGGTCCTGGGTGTCATCTCCAGCGTCAGGGTCATCATACTTCCGTTCTTCTTTCAAAAGAGCCTGAGAGTCAACGCTGAGACCTACCAGGATGTGCTGAGGAGCGTGGTAAAGCCCTGGATGAACGAGATCGCCGCCGAACACCCCTACGTCTTCCAGTAGGATTCCGCTCCTGCACAGAAGGTCAAGACTACCCAGGCGTGACTGCTCATCAATGTTCCTAACCACTGGTCGCCGGACTTGTGGCCGCCCTCCTCACCCGACTGCAACCCCCTTGACTATTTCTTCTGAGGCGTGATCGAAGCCAAGACCAACAAGCACGCCCACAACACGGTCGACTCTCTGAAAACTGATATCGTGGAGGAGTTCGCCGCTATCGACAAGGACATGGTCGGCTAAGTGTGTGACTCATTTAGCACCCGCCTTGAGATGGTCGTCGCCGCTGCCGGCGGTTACATTGAAAAATAATGTAGTATGTAACGCTAACTGTTGCTAAATTAACTGTCGGGACTCTGCA